TCAAATCCGTTAACAAAGACTAGTTTCTATTTCATTGTACATATTACCACAAAAAAAAAAACTACAAAGAACAGAGAGACTCAAGCAAAATGTTGTTGATTCGTAGCTGATACTTTTTAAGAGACGCAAAAACTTGATGGAGTTTTTTTTCTTTAACCGGTTAACTAAGACGGTGCGCCGAGATAGGATGCCAGTCTTAGTATGTCACTGAATATACCACCGGCTGTGACTTGAGCACCAGCTCCAGGTCCTCGGACGATAAGCGGATGATCCTTGTATCTTGTAGTTGTGAATGCTATTATGTTGTCCGAACCAGCTAGCTGCGCAAACGGATGGTCTTTCTTGTATCTTCGAAGCTCGACTGTTCCCTTTTCGTTTACTGCGTCCACTACTCCAACATATCTCAGGACCTGTGAATCAAGAGTTTATATTCATATGGTTAATATATGGTCGTATCAATCAAACAGATCACATTTGTTAGTGATGAATGATGTTATACTTCTCCGGAATTTTCAGCTTCTAGCCTTTCTTTTGCTAGGTCTTCGTCGTACTGTGGGAGTTTCGCCATGAATTCTTCAGCGGAAGCGCATCCCTGAAAGTAGATATAGAAGAACATTAGATGCAGAAAATGCTGATTTTGCTGTTAAAGAGAGATATCTAAAGATGGATTACTTTTAGAGGTTCTGGGACGAGACTTCTAACAGGGAGATCAGCGAGGTCCAATCTGAGTCCAGATTCTCGAGCGAGGATTATCACCTATGTAAAAAGGAAGTTTCGGTGAAGTTTGTCGAGTTGGTTTAATACTTTGTTGCTATACATAGAAGCGATAACGTACCTTCCTTGCAACATCAGTTCCGGATAAATCATCTCTTGGATCAGGCTCAGTGAAACCTGCTTTCTTAGCTTCAGCGACAACCTCGCTGAAACTTCGATCTCCAACAAAGTTGTTGAAAAGATAACTCAAAGTTCCACTGGAACAAAACAAAGATAAATCATCAAAATCAGAACCAGAACCAGAAGGGAACTCGAAGTCTGACTTTGGTGGAATTGTTAATTTGACAGACCTGCAAATGCCCTCTATGCGTAATATCTTGTCTCCTGTCTCAAGGAGACCACGTAAAGTGCTGATGATTGGAAGACCAGCTCCAACGGTGGCTTCATAGAAGTAATGAGTGTAGGATTTCCTTTGAAGATCTCTCAGTTTCAAGTACTGCATATACAAAAAAAAGAAACATCAGCAAAGTAAAAACCGACCTGACTGGAACATTTCCTATTGAGTTTCTCTGAACAGATATTCAAAGATATATACTTTGGTGAGAAGAATATATCACCTGATCAAGGGGACCAGAGTTAGCCTTTTTATTTGGGGTAATGACGTGGATTCCTTTCCGTAACCAATCATAGTAATTGCTCGCAATAGCAGAGTCTGCTGTACAATCAACCAACACAGTGTTGGGGATAAAATGATTTCCATGTACTTGTTGAGTGAATTTATCCATATTGGCCTCAGTTCCCTTCTCGCTTAGAAGTTCTCTCCATCTCGACAAGTCAATACCACTGCAAGAACAACATATGGTAAGCAGAGAATAACCATCGGCAATTTGGAACCGAGCTCGTGATTTACCAGCGAATGACAGATATGCAAGCACAGATTTTCAACTCAAATCATACAGTAATGGTAGAGAGGCGTAAAGGAATGTCACGGATAGTATTACCCAATAGATAAAACACAAGATAGCAACCAAGAGAAAGCAATTGCCACTATTGTAAAACAGAATATTAGGCAAATCATCTACATTCATATGGATTCTGATTAAAGGATTCAGGATATTTGTCTCTCTAGAAAAAAGCATAATATGCAGTCGCACCATCAAGAGCGAAACAGTATGTCTTCCCGATAAAATCAAAAGGAAAAATCTAAACAGAAGATGTCATTCTTACATGTCACTTAAGAGCATAGTTTTTGATCCAGTGATTCCCAAAACACGCAGATCAATGTTAAATTCTTGTTTGAGAACACCAGCCTGGAAAACATTATTTAATGTTTAATCAGTTTCGTAAAGGACGAAATTAACTTGATATTAAAACAATAACACGGAACAACATTATGAAACTCACCTGGTCCCTCAACTGATCAAGTAATGTAGCACCAATCAAACCTGGTCCTATGATTCCCATTGCTAGTGTCGTTCTTGATAGGAAAAACCTTGAGTGCACAGCTCTCAATGCCTTTACGCTATCTTCCCGTTTAATGACGACAGTAACATTGTACTCTGAACAACCTTGAGATATAGCACGGACATTAATATTAGCCTGCAAGTGTGATACAAAACAAGCAGTCACAAAGGAGTAATTTAGCAAAAGATAGGATAACACAAGAATGATCCCTCATCATGTTGGTTACAGTATGCGTAACAATCACCTTTGCAAGGGCACTGAAAAGTGTACAACTAACTCCAGGTGTACTAGCCATTTTCTGGCCGACTGCAGCTAAGATGCTACAATTTGGTATCACCTCAATCTGAGAAAAAAATGCTATTGTTCAACATAATGAAACTTGCAATTATCAACTGAAAATGCTTTGATTAGATTGATTACACAGGGAAGGACTGTGTTATCTGCAACAGTAAGCAAAACAGAGATCAGAGAGAGACCTGGGAAAGACGTCCAGCTTGTAAAGCTTCACTAAATCTCGATCGCAGTGCCTCGGAAACAGCGTTTACTTCCTTCTCAGGTACAGCAAAGCACACAGAATGCTCACTGCTAGCCTGAACAATGAATATCTCAATGGTGTAAGCCTCTGCCTCTATAATTAAAAAAATTTGGTAGACAGCTAAGGTAAAGTTTGAAATCAACGCACCTGTGATATCATAATCACATTAGCTCCAACATCTTTTACGGCGCCAAAAATGTCACTTGCTGTACCAGGTACACCAGCCATTCCAGTACTGTCATAATGAATTGGAAGAGGGCAGTCAATAGGCAAGTGATGAATTCAGCTTGTCCTTTACAATTAATATATATAAAAAACTCACATCCACAACAAGGTAGCTTACCCTTCAACATTTATGAGCGCCAAATTGTCAATGATTGCAAACCCTTTGACAGGAGTTGTCAGTATAAGGTCACAATCATCTTCAGGAGGTTGACAGATTATTGTTCCCGGCGCAGAGAGATTGAAAATATTTCTTATCACAATCGGAATATTATACCGCATCACAGGAATGATGGTGCGAGGATGTAAAACATTTGCTCCAAAATAAGACTGCATGAAGTTAAAAGTTTGTATCAGAATTTTCTACTTGGCATGAAAAAGCTCCTGAATCTTGGATAACAAGAGCGCTAAGTTTACCATTTCCCATGCCTCTTGATAAGAAAGTGTCTTGAGTATTACTGCCTCATTAACTGCAGAACAAAATGATGTGTTAAACTTACATCTTTCGAATAAAGAATGAATTAGAGGCAAAAGATTGGGACAGACCTTTACGAGGATCCGCACTGTATACACCATCAACATCAGTCCAAATTGTTACTTTACGAGCCCTCAATAGAGCACCCATAATAGCCGCAGAAAAATCACTCCCATCCCTTTTTAAAGTTGTAGGAATGTTTTGTGGAGTGCTAGCAATGAACCCAGTGGCAATAATTATTTTCGACAGATTTCGGGAGAACCACTTTTCGAGTCTCTTCTCCGATTCACCAAAATCGGGATCGACCTGATTAGAGCTGGTTGGATTTACAATGAGCACATCTCTAGTATCCATCCACTTGCACTCAAGCCCAGTCTACAGTCAAAAGAATAGAGAAGTGATAAAGTATACAACCTCAATTATTTCACATGGAATTATCATACGCATCATTCAAACCTTTCTAACTACATATGATAGCATCTGCGCAGACCAAAGTTCCCCATGTCCTGCAACGAAATCTGAAAATGACTCTGATGCATGCCCGGCTGCAAATAAAAGATGTTAGTTCTTCCTTTGAAATCAGACCAAAACGAAAAAGGAAGCACAAATAAGAACATCGAAAGAAAGACAACCAAAACGAGGTATAACCATCTCATTACCTATGTACATCGCACGAAGCATTGCTTTAAGATTACTAATATCATTATGCAAATGTGACAAGAAACTAGCAAGATCATCTCCATCGAGAAGGTCACGAGCTGTCAATCTGTGCTTTTCAAGGACAGCTTCCAACGCAGATAAATAAGAATCATCTCGTGATTGTGCCTTGCGAAGTAAGTCATACATCATATCTGTCACCTTCGACATAGCAGAAACAACCACAAGTTTCCTTTCCGAATTATCATTGATTATAACCTCTGCAACATTCCTTATCCTCTGCGAATTTCCCACACAAGTCCCACCAAACTTGTGAACACTCCACATTTCCCCTTTAGGAATCTGAACTTGATCCAAAGAATTCTCCGTGGATACACCTTCAACTGCAACCAAATTGATCACACAATTTCGAACCCAATTCCTCCAACAAATCAATATCTAATCAGATGAAACAAAACAAAAACCAACCAGTACTCGCTGTAGCCGAGAGATGAAAATCCGGAAGTTCACATCGAATCAAACCGCCGCCGCCGCCAATCGTCCGCCGAAACTTGGGGAATACAATACTTGTAGTAGAGATGACTCGCCCCCGGAAACAAAGCGGTTTCGGGAGACGGACCAAACATTGCGGCAAAAAACATCCAAATCCAATCGGATTAATATTCGGCGGCGGAGAAACAGTAAATGACGGCTTCAGAGTCGCCATACCTGCTTACCGAATCAGAGTTACAATGAAGATTCAATTCGAAACTCAAACCTCAAATCCAACAAAAAGAAAGAACAAAATCGCCTCTACGAATCAATCGTCGAGCATTCCACAAAGAACTTAGCAACAACACGTAATGCATAAACCCTAAATTTGATTTATCAGAGATAAAATGGAACCGAAGAACAGTTACAGTACCAGTGAATGATTTTTCCGGCGACGAGGCGGCGAAGGAAGGGTCGAGGAAAAAGAAAGGTGTACGGCTTTTCTCAGTCGCGCGAGGGATTTGAAATTTGTAGTCAAAAGGCTCAAAGAGTTCAGTCCACAATAGAGAGTGAAGAAGAATCTCTCTCTCTCTCTCCAAGAAGCGGCTTCACGATTGTCTGTCAACAATAAATTGCCACGTGTCAATCTGTTTACGACTCTCAAATAACGTTTTTGTCTTTATTCTGTTTTGATTAAAGGCCTTACTTGATGGCCCATTTTGACCATCTATTTAAAATTAGCTTGGCCCAAAACTAATCTACACTTTGGGTCACTACGAAACGTTTTTTTACGATGTCGATCAAATTAGGGGATTTTTTTTAATATCAAAATAGGGGTTTTATATTTAAAAGTTAACGTTT